TTCTGGCTGCTCCTTTGCCGAAACCACACTTAGTTATTTAATGACAAGTCTTTCTATCTGATAGAACCTCCTCCTTTTTCAAGAGTATTTTGGCTACTCTTGGCTTTCTGCCATTTTATATAAATTTGGAATCAGCTGGTCAATTTTTTTCTCCCTCTTTAATTCCCCCCACTTTCCACTTGTGCCCTGACCTATGGATGTTGCAGTTTCCCCTTAAGAAATGGATCTCTGAAGGTGGGGTGTCCCCTCCCACATGCTCGCAGCATATGCGGGGCCTGGCACACCCGGGGGGCCTGGCGCACCCAAAGTATGGTCTGTGGCTCCCCTTGGGGCATGAACCCAGGACCTTCTGCGTGTAAAGCAGACATGCTAACCACTACACTATGGAGCCACTCCCTGGTCAATTTTTTGAAAACATGAAACCTCTTAGGATTTTGATCGAGATAATAATGATCAATTTTAAGAGAATCGACGTCATTACCGTATCAAGTCTTCCAAACCACAAATTAAATATGTCCTGCCATTTGCTTAGGTCTTCTTAATTTCTCCATACTGTGTTTGATCTTTCTCTAGGCAGAGGCTTGCCTATCTTTCATTTTTAATAGGTATGTGATGCTTTTTGATACTCTTTTAAATCATGTATTTTAAAATTTCTATTTTCTAACTGTATACTGCTAGCATATAAAAATATCTGACCTTCTAATATTGACCTTGCATTCATCAATCTTGCCAAACTCATTTTTGAATTCTTATAATATATGTGTCAGTTCTTTTGTGAATGGTAATTTGATTTGTTTCATTTTGAGTCTTGAAACTTTTAATTAATTAACTAATGAATTAATTAATCAACTGCCTTATTGCCTTTGCTAGGATCTCTGGTTCAGTTCTGAATGAAAACAGTGATGGTGGGCATACATATTTTAATTTTGATCACAAAGAGAAAACTGTGGGGTTTTTTTTGTTGTTTTTTTTTGTTTTGGTCTTTCTCTTTCTCCATTTCTTTCCATCTATAAACTCTATTGAAGGACATGTAAGATGAGCATGTTCCTTGCTCGATATGTAAAAATGACAATTTCCCCCACATTAATGTATCAGTTCTAAAGAATCCAATCAGAGTTCCCAGAGGATTTTTTCATCAGTCTTAATAAATTTAATCAAAATTTATCTAAAGGAGAATATATGCAAGAATTGCCAAAGAATTTTTGGAAAGCAAGAACAGTGAGAAGGCTTGGGCTAGATATTAAAAAACATTCGTCTTAGGTCAGCTACCCTAGAAGCAGAGCAGAAGACAGGGATTCTTGTTCAGGTAACTTGGGGGAGGGGGGCTTCTTTGAGAGAAGCAGGATGGGGTAAGGGAAACATGGTAATTAATCTCAAGACCTCTGTTCCTATCGGGGAAGCTCAGGGTGACAAATTGCACTTACAAAATTAGTCCTATTTTGATGCAAGGGAACTGTCTTTTCCTTTTATACCCTTAAGCCAGTGAGTCACACCTGAGGTGTGTCCTGACTAGGGTGGGATATTGTGTAGCTTCCCAGGTAGGTGGCTCCATTAAGCCGAGAGTCATTTGACTGACAGAAGGGCCGCTGTGAATGATCGGCCTAAACAGCCCCTGGGGAGTAGGATCACTGGCTGGGAAAGAGGATTGTGATGACACTGAGAATTAGGTTTGGAGAGAACAAGGAAGAGGCTCCGTAACCGGAAGAAGAATTGTTGGTGTCCAGTAAGTTACATCAGGAAGAATTCCTGCCGATGGCAACGCCCGAAGCATGGCCGTGTGTGGGCTTCTGGAGGAGAGGGAAAGTGAAGATCGGGGAAGTGAGAGATGCCACCAACGGGGACTGTGACGACGTAGAGGGCGGTGGCAGTCAGGGCAAACGGGAAGGCCATGTTCTTAGTACGGGGGGGCGGGGGGCTGCGGTTTGGCAAAGGGTGGCCTAGCGAGATGTCACGAAGGTGGCTGAAGGAAGAAAGTTTTGGAAGCAGCGAGAGGGGAAGACTATGAATGGGGACCTTGCTTCCTGATCTCGAGACTTGAGTTACTGTCCCCATGAGGACTTTATGGGAGGTGGTGGTGCCAGGCTTCCCTATGAATGTGGGATGGTAGAGGATATGCTTTAGGAAGAAGCAGAGGGCACATGGAAATAACGGGGAGCCTAGGGTCCAGAGAAAGAAACGAGAGGGCATAAACTGATAGGGATATTAAGACATAGACATTACTGCCAACTCAAGGATTTTGTACCATTTTTAAAAACTAACATTTTCATTTTGTTGGCATCCAGGGTTAACCCCATAACGAAGTGCGAATTCTTTCCAGACCTTCTTCAGTTTTCATATTTCTTAGTGACAATTAGAAAGCAAAGTTAGTTAAAGATGGCTTTGACTTTGCTTAAAGAGCTGTAATCAAAGTATTTTTTAAAAGGGAAATTGTGAGTATTGAGATTGGTACGGACATCACCCAGCCCCGAGAAGCTGTGTCACTGAGCTGCTTCCTTAGGCAGACATTCAGCCGAGAGAGAAGAGCGAAGATGTCCTTCAAGGATTTGCTGCTTGCACAATAACGATCTTCACACCCTTTACTGAAAACTAAAGCTGAGAATACATAATCCAAGCGCTGCTTCTTTTAATGAACTCATAGAGCCATTAGGGGTGCTCCAGGGTTGGCAGGAAAAAATTGGAATTTGGAGGTGTAATTTCCTATTGAGTTTTTTTTTTAATAGTATTGTTTTCTTGAAATCAGCGAGCTTGTTGGATGTTGATGAATCATTGACACTTAGCCCAATGTCTGGTACATAGTAAACTTTCAATAAATGTTTATTGAATGCATTAAAGTGCAAAATTTTATAATTAGTGAACAGAATACTGAGAATGAGAAATGTGTGTGTGTGTGTGTGTGGGTGTGTGCGTAACTGCTTGCTTAAACTTTTCACTACTTTTTCTCACTAATTTTCTTTCCTTACCTTTTCTTCTTTGCATTTGGCATCTCCGAAATAAAACAACTACAAAATTAATTACAGAGACTGGGCTTGTCATGACATAGTCCTGTGCAGCTGTGGTGAGTGGAGTATGCATTAATTCAGATTTCATCAAACTATCAAACAGTGGTTCCCAGTCTTGGATGCACATTAAGCCACCTGGGGTGATAAAAATTCTGATGCCTGGTTCCCACTTCAGAGATGCTGACTCAGTTGCCTGGGGTAGGGCTTGGGCATAGATCTTTTTTTTTTTTTAAAGTTCCCCAGGAGATTTTAATGTGCATCCCAAATGGAGAACCAGTGCTCCAAAAAAAATCTTTCCAGAGGATCCCCAATATCTTTAGGGTTGAAGGCTCACTCACAGGTCCCCCTCGCCTGCTTGGGTCATTCTAATGCTGCCCTTTAGTCCTGGGGCGAGCTCCTGCTTTTGCTCTTATTTTGTTGTCTGGTTAATTTAACTCTCTTTATGCGTGGACTCACGAAAGAATTTCTAAGGGATTTTGGAGAAGTTAGAGCCGCAGCTCTCTTCCTTTATGTCTAATGCGTATACTATTTGAGCTACAGTTCACAACACAATTACTGACAACTTCAAGTGCATAACTTCATGGCCATGCGTGAAAAACATAAGAAATTCAGTCCTCAGTTTTGTCATAAACTTTGCATGCTAATTTTATTGGGGAAATCACCCTTGAGAAACCAAAGGTTGTTTCACTGGAAATACAAGTGATAATGACTAGGGAGAGGCAGAGAGATATAAATTAAAGGTCTCATTTACTCGTTTTATACATGCTTCCTACTTCCTTACACAGCCACCTCTGTCTCTCCGAAAGCCAGGTACGTTCTTCCTTCAGCTCCCACTGAAGACTTCTTGTGTTTTGAGACTGTTCGTTGATTTGAAAGAAATACTTTTATTGTGCATAACTTTCCTTAGGGTGGTTTTATTCAATTCAGTGCTTACATAACCATCATACTGTATCTTCTTCATCTTGTGTGACAGTAAGTTAATTCATCTTATTTCTGGGTTAACCTGAAAGGAATCCGTATAAGGAAACCCAGGGGTGAAATAGAAGTTTTAACAGAGGATGTGGGATGCCTTAGCAAGGGTGGGTCTTTGAGAGCAAAGACCCTCCCAGAGTAAGTAGGCTTTCAAAAAAAACAAAAACAAAAACCCAAAACTCATTGTGCATTAATCTCATTCTATTTCTTAAACCTTTATTAACTAGTTTTAACATAGTTGGTGATGAAGAAAATATAAAATGTTTTATTTATTTATTTTTGGTAAATATTAATTGTCCTTTAAACGTTTTATTTTTGGGAGATAACAAAAGTAATCTGAACTCACTGTTCAAGCTTGAAAAGATATAGAAAAGTATACAAAAAGAAAACCCTTTTACTCCCACTTAATAATTCATGGCTGGAGATAAGTCATTGCCTTTGAGGGAAAATTCAGCTCAGAGTCAAGTTTTCATGCAGTCAGGGATTGGGGTTTAAGAGAATTAATTCAATCTCCCACTCTGCAGTGGATTTTGAAACAATTGAGAAGTAGAAAGTATCAGAGAAGGATGCACTTGGTGTTATTATTGTTAGGACTGAACACTGCTTGGACTTGAGGCCAAAGGGGATTCTCAACCTTGCCCTTGCCTGGTCTCTGGTCCAGCAGCGGGACATGTGGGACTTCGGAAGGGCAAAGGCGGGGCCCGCCTGGGGAGCTTACAGGGAGGGGTGCAGGCAGGCTCTGACAGAGACAAGTGAGAATAAAACCACAAGAGGCATTATAACCTCGCTCCGTGGGGATGTGAAGATGATGTCACGCCGATTCATGTGTCCTGCCAAGAGCAGGCCAAGCGAAGCAGTGGGAAGCAGGCAGCAGCGACCTTTCACTGAGAGGGTGAAACTCCTTATTTTCTGGATCAGTGCAGGAAGAGGAAGAGAAGCAGAAAGGGTTCCTGTGACCCAAAGCCATTCAAATAAATGAAACGTGCTCCTTTGGGTTTGATTGTCGTTCTAGATCTTGCTAGAATCGTCATGGATTCGCTCGGCGCAGTGACCGCTCTGTTTGGGGTTGATCTTCTCAGAGAGCTGAGTAAAACAAATGATGGCAACATCTTCTTTTCCCCTCTGAGCATCACGACTGCCATCGGCATGCTTCCGCTGGGGGCCCGAGGGTCCACCGCCACGCAGTTACTCAAGGTAGAGTGGGCTTCCATGGCTTTCCAGGCACAGTCGGTCTCCAGGGGTGGCCCTCGGGCTTCGCCCTGAAAACACGCTTCTCTGGACCTGTGGCCAAAGAAAACGCGTGAAGACACAGGGCAGGTCCAGGTCTGTTGAGGGCGACTCCTTCCCTCTCCGAGTTCCAATTCCGCCCTGCCATCTGCTCCCTGGTGCTCGGCGCTCCTTTGGGTGAGGGCTGGGTGAGCGGCCTTGTCCAAAGCCATTAACCTCATAATCACAGACAGAAGGTGAAGAATAAAACCTACTGGGAGAAGCTGCATAATCCCCACTAGGGTCTAAATGACACGTCAGGGGTGAGTACACGTGTGCATAAACCAATGCAGGCTCCTCCGAAGATGACTGGAACTCCTCACGATTCTGCAAAGAGCAAAATGCTGTGCGTGTGCCCCTGAGGTTTCTTTAACAAACATCTCCTTTTCCCCGGCGGCATTTTCTCTGCTCAGACCATTGCCACAGTATTTTCTTTCCCTTCCAGGTGCTTTTCTCTGAAAAAGACACGAAAAGTTCAGGAATGAAAGCTGAAGAAAAAGAGGTAGGAGACATGTGGCTGCTTTGTAGATGCGGGTCCCCGGGGAAATGTGTAGAAGAGGTAATACATACTCGATACTTATTTTTAAGCAATGATTATCATAGCAGCCAAATAATGTTGCTAGGGGTATACCATGATAATAGACACCTAGCGTTAAGAAGAGACCTTATCTTCCATGCACACTAAGCGCGATGACAGATACTGGTAAAGGCTTCCAAGCTGAAGAGTCCCTCCGGCAGAGTGGATGGGTTTGGAGTTAAACAGATTCGGGTTCAAATCTTGGCTTAATCTCTTAATAGCTGTGCTACTCTGGACAAGTCATTCACCTTCTTTGGGCCTCTGTACAGTGTGCAGTAGAGTGTCTGGAACACACTGGTGACTCACCAGTAGTATTAGGTGCTATTATTACTACATTCTATTTTTATTTTAAGCTCTCTCCCCCCTCCACCACTAAAGTTTATTTAAAAAAATATTAGCACAGGATGAGTGACTTCCGGGGTCTCTTCCAGCTCTAGGGTTGTAACAGTTCTTGCCTGAAGGACAGAGGGTGCAAACATGGCAAAGAGATTAAGTCCACAGTTTGAGGTTGGCATTTGGAGATGGTGAGAGCTCTCAGGAAGGGCACGTATGCCCTGACAGCAGTCATAGCTCAATCCCAGGCCCTCACTAAGTCAGAGCTCAAGTCACTCAGCAACATGGGTTGTTCACGTCACAATCCCACACGGCCAGGTTGGTTGGGTTCCTCAAGTGCATGTGGGGAGAGCTGGGCTTCCTTCCAGGTTTTGTAGGACAGAGTTGGGTCTGATAGCTGCTCTGCTGTCCCCTCAGTCAAGGACCACAGTTGTTTGAGAGCCCTTTCCCTCCCATGTCTCGTGGCCCGTACAGAATCTTTGTGCGCGTTAGAATAAAAAGAATGTAGTTACTAGAAATTTTAAGATTGTATTTGTGGCTCGCATTTTATTTCTACAAGACAGCACCGATCTACAGTACAGATCTGGGGGAGAGGGTGTATGCACGCTCAGCTTTGTTAAATATTACCAAATATTTGCCAAAATGATGATACCGACATCTGTTCCTCACAGCAGTGTATACAGCCCACTTCATACAGTCATACAGAGACAGTGGACCTGAAATCCCACTGGCCTTACAATCCCCGGTCATCTATATTCACACATACATACATACATATGTATATTTTTTTCTGTGTCTATTGGTGATCATATGATTTTTTTATCCTTTAATGCAGTGAATTACATCAATAGAATTTCCAATGTTAAACCATACTTGCATTTGTGGGATAATCAGCTTGGCCATAATTAAAAAAAATTTTTAGATTATTGAATTGGATTTGGTAATATGTTGTTAGATGTTTCAAAAGATCTGTGTTATCAATCTGTAATGTTTTTTCTTGTCCTGTCCTCATTTAGTTTTGGTATAAAGTATCACTAGACTCATGAGTTGGGGAATATTTCCTCTTTTTTCATTCTCTGGAGGAGTTTGTGTAAATTCAGAAATGCACCAAATGTTCTTGGCAGACTTTTATTTTAAAATTGCCTGAGCCTGGTGATTGGTCGATTGATTGTTCGACTGACACTTTCTGTTCCCATGATTGTGATTACTTTAGATACTTCATATGAATGGAAGCATATGGTATCTGTTTTTTGTGACTGGCTTATTTTGTTTACCTTTGAGATTCCTCCATGTTGACACATGTAACAGGATTTTCTTCTTTTTAAAGACTGCATAATATTCCATTTGATGTATAGACCACATTTTCTTTGTCCATTCATCCATTGATAGACATTCAGGTTGCTTCCACCTATTGGCTGTTGTGAATAATACTGCGATGAACATAGATATGAAAATGTTCCTTTGAGATCTTCCTTTGAATTCTTTTGGATATATACCCAGAAGTGTGATTTTTAGATCATATGGTAATTACATTTAAAAATTTTAGAGAAACTTCCGTACTGTTTTCCATAACACCTGCACCGTTTTAAATTCCTGCCATTAATGCTCAAAGGTTCCAACTCTCCACATCTTCATTGCTATTTTCTGGTCATCTGACAGTGGCCATCCTAATGGCTGTGAGGTGATATCTCATTTTTTTTTTTTTGTGGTTTTGATATTTGCATTCTTTTTATGATTGGTGATGTTGAGTATCTTTTTATATATGCTGTTTGTAATTTGTATATCTTCTTTGGAGAAGTGCCTATTCAAGTCCTATGCCCATTTTTTTCATTGGGTTATTTTTGTTGTTGATGTTGTTGAGTCGTAGAAGTTCTTTATATATATCCTGGATATTAAGCTCTTATAAAAAATATATGATTTGCCAGTATTTTCTCCCATTCTGTAGGTTGCCTTTTTACAATATTCTTGATTATATCCCTTAATGAGCATAAGTCTTTTTCAGTTTGATGTCTATTTTTGTCCATTGTCTATTTTTGCTTTTGTTGCCTAGCTTTTGATGTCATACTTGAGAAATCATTACCAAATCCAATGTCCCTCAATTTTTTCTTTCTATCTTCTTCTAGTAGTTTTATAATTGTAGGGCTTATATTTAGTTATTTAACCTAGTTTGAGTAATTTTTTTTTTTTTGCATATGATATAAGGTAAGGGTCCAACTTCATTCTTTTGCATGTGGATATTCAGTTTTCTTAGCACTATTTGTTGAAGAGACTGTCCTTTTCTCGTTGTGTAGTCTTGGCACTCTTGTTGAAAATTATTTGACCATTAAGCAAGGGTTTATTTCTAGGCTCTTTCTTATTTCCATTGGCTCATATATCTTTCTTTATGCTAATACCACACTATCTTGCTTACTCTTGTTTTGTATGTAGTATGTTTTGAAATCAGGACGTGTGAAGCCTCCAACTTTGTTCTTTTCCAAATTGCTTTGGCTATTCAGGGTCTCTTGAAGTTCCATATCAATTTTAGAATTTTTTTTCTATTTTTGCAAAAGGTGCCATTGGGATTTTGATAGGGATCGCAATGACTCTATACATCACTTCGGGTAGTATAAATATTTTAACAATAATATGCTTTCCAATCCATGAGCATAGGATGTCTTTCCATTTATTTGTATCTTCTTTTATTTCTTTTAACAATTTAAAAAATAGATTTCAGTGTATAAGTCTTTCATCTCTTTAATTAATTTATACCTAAGTATTTTATCTTTTTTGATACTATAGTAAATAGAATTATTTTCTCAATTACTTTTTGGAATGGTGACTGTTAGCGTATAGAGATGCAACTGATTTTTGAATATAGATTTTATATTCTGCAACTTTGCTGAACTAATTTATCAGCTGAAACAATTTTTTGTAGAAACTTTAAGGTTTTCTACATGTAAAATCATGTCATCTGTGAGCTGACATAATTTTAATTCTTTCTTCTTGATTTTAATTCATCTATTTCATTCTCTTTTCTAGTTGCTCTGGCTCGGATTTCCAATACTATGTTGAATATAAAGAATAGTAGTGGTGAGAGTGGATATCTTCGCCTAATCTTAGAGGAAAAGTTTTCATTTCACCATTGGGCGAGATGTTAGCTGTGGTCTTTTCCTATATGGCTTTTATCATGCTGAGGCTGGTTTCTTCTAGTCCTGGCTTGTATGTTTTTATCATGGAAATGTGTTGACTTTTATCAAATCCTTTTTCTACATCAATTGAGATAATCACATAGGTTTTGTTTTTCACTGTTAATGCATTACCTTGATTGAGTTTCATATGTTGAACTATCCTCACATTTCAAATATAAATCCTACTTAGTTATGGTGTATAATTCTTTTAATGTGCTATAAATTTGGTTTCTGGTATTTTATTGAGGGGTTTTGAATCAATATTTATCAAGGATATTCGTTCACAGTTTCTTTCCTTATGTCTTTTTCTGGTTTTGGTATGAGGATAATGCTGGCCACATAGAATGAATTTGAGAATGTTCCTCCTCTTCAAGTCTTTAGAAGACTTTGAGTAGGATTGGTATTAATTCTTCTTTAAATGTTTGGTAGAATTCTCCAACAAAGCTATTTGGCCCTGGGCTTTTCTTTGTTGGAGGTTTTTGGTAACTGATTAAATCTTCTTATTAGTTGTGTCTGTTCAGATTTTTTATTTTGTCACCATTCATTCTTGGTAGGTTGTGTGTTTTTAGAAATTTATCCATTTCTTCTAAGTTATCTATTTTTTTATGGCATATACTTGTCCGCAGTAGTCTTTTATAACCCTTTAAATTTCCATGACATTTGTTGTAACATCTCCTCTTTCATTTATAGTTTTAGTTATTGGAGTCTTCTATATTTTTTTTCTTAGTTACACTAGTTAAGAGTTTGTCAATTTTGTTGATCTTCTTAAAAAACTCAACTCTTGCTTTTGTTGATTTTTTTCTACTGTTTTTCTACTCTCTATTTTGTTTATTTCTGCTCTAATCTTTATTATTTTCTTCCTTCCATTAACTTTTGGTTCAGTTTTGTTCTTTTCCAAGTTCTTTGTATGTAAAGTTAGGTTGTTGATTTAATTTTTTCCTTCGATTGGGTCATGTTTCCCTGTTCTTTGTATGCTTTGTTATCTTCTGTTGGGACTTTGGCATTTGGAAAATCAGCCACCTCTCCTAGTCTTTGTGGTTTGGTTTAATAACAGGGAGAACTTTTTCCAGTCAGGCTAGCTAGCAGTTCTGGAGACCTCTTAAGCCTTTTCTGGGCATGCATTCTTTCTGGGCTTGTATGGGTAATCTCCTAATTGAAGAGGTTTGCTGGTTTCTACTCATGAGCTCTCTCTAGTGTCATCTGTGGTACAGCAGACTCTGAGGAATGTTAATTTTGTTCTCAGTGGCCAACCTGGTGCCCTGTTTCCGACAGCACTTATATTCAAGCAAGACAGAAACCAGGCCCTCAGGCAGCTTCTGGAAAAGTCAAAATGCTGGATGTACATTCTACTCTTCTGCTTCTCTCCCCAGGGGGTAGTTGGGATTTGGAAGTTTTCTCCCAATCACACCATGCTCTGTGTCTGGGGGGTGGAGGGCTGGGAGGGAGTGATGACTCTGGTGAGTGAGTGCCATGAATTTTCCTACCAGGCTTCAATGCAGTTGGTTTCAGGCTCTCTAGGGTACAGGAACTTCTTCACTAATCTCTGGGTTTCTTACAAAGGCATTCACTTCTTGAGTTGTTAAATCAGTGCTGTTAGTAGAATATTCTGCCATCTTGCTGACATCACTCTTGGAAAGTTTCCTTAGTAAAGATTTACACATGGTAGATGCTGTCAGGTTGTATTTGCCTTTGTGTGTTCTTGAATGAATGTATGCTGAATTCTAGGTTAATATTTTCTCTCACTGCTTTGAAGATACCATTCTACTCTATCTGTCCAATGTTGCTGTTAAGAAGCTGATTTATTTGGCATTCCTTTCTAGGCGATCTCCCTCTGGATGCATTAAGTTTTGCTGTTTGTTTTTGTTGGTCCGCAATTTTACTACAATGTGTCTATTTGTGCATTTCTTTTATTTACCAAGACAGGTTTACTGTGCCTTCTCAATATGAAAATTCATACTTTTCATCAATTCTGGAAAATTCTCAGCCATGTAATTTTTTGAATTCTCTTCTTGCTTGCCTTTTAGAAGGATGTTAGAATTCTATCTTCCAGATTTCTTCATCTGTCATACATGTTTTTCATCACTTTCTGTCTTTGTGCTGCGTTCTGAGAAAAATCATTTGGATCTGTTTGGTTTACTAATTTAGCAGTGCCTAACTGGCTGTTTTACCCATCTATTGAGTTTTTAAATGTCAATGCTTATTGAGTATATGGAAGTTCTAGTTGATTATAAAACCAGCCTGGAAGTTGATGGTAGTCTCTTGTTTCTTAACCATATTTTCAATATCTTTTGTGGTCAACAGTCTTGATATGCTGCTTTTTAAATGTGATATCTGATAATGTTGACATTTAAAGTCCTTGAGGCTCTAATATGGCTGTTTGCTATTTTTTCTTCTGATTCTTAATGTGGGACTTATATTCTCATGATCTGTAATTTTGGAATATGAGCTAATATTTGATTGGTAATCTATGGGAGTCCAGTGAAAGCCAGGATGTAGTTACCTTTCTAATACAGATAATTTTTTTTATGAATGTTATCAACTTATGGACACTTTAAGTTCTAAGTTTGGGGTTTCCCAGGCCATCGAGGTGGTATAAATTCAAACTCCAAACCTGTTCCACAGTAAGATTTTCTTCCCTTTCCCCATTTTCAGGTCAACTTAGTTACAACTTACCCACTGGAGAAATATTCTCACTACATTCTTTTCTTTATATCAACCCATTATTCTCCAAAGACTTCAATACCTTATCTGTCTCCATCACATATCAGTCAGCCTGAGCAGCCATAGAATAATCATGAGGCATTAAAAGGCTCAAAGTAGCAAGGAGGGCGTCAAAGGTCAAATTCAGCCTCAGATATTTTGTTAGAGTAGCATACTTTTACATTTTCAACTTGAACGTCTTCAACTGTTAATTATTCACAAAAATTAAATGGGTGGCTTTAATGTAGCAGACACTATTCTGGGCATCGAGTTACCAATGTTGAAATAAAAAGATGAAACAAACAAACAAACAAACAATAAAAACCCATAGGCTTCGTATTCTAGAGGAAGAAGGCTTTTCCGTTCTCAGTGCAATCAGGAATAAGCTTTTCAGCTCAAAATTAAAATGCCTCTCCCTTGCATCCAGTGTGAACAGAAGTAGCTAGATATCACTCAACAGGCAGTGGGACAGTGTTTCTCTCTGTGTCAGGGAAGTATGCTGGGTCAGCTGGTTCTGCCAAGCAGCACTCACTCCTCAGCCCTCAACCAGAAAATGGATGGATTCTACAAAAAAAAGTCTAGAAAAGTTTTTTTTTTTTTTTTCCTTTTCCATAGAGACAAGAAAATCTTACTTCAACCCAATGTATAGTCTGACAAATGGCTACATGTACCATCAGGAATCACTTTTCTTATCCACTGTCTGGAACAGAAATCGTTAAAGGGTAGATAAGAGTCATCTGGGGAATCATTTGCTTTCCTCAGGTGCTTAGTTTTGTGGGAAGCTAAAGGCAAGCATGTGAAACATTTTGTGGGCAATTATGTTTGAGATAAAAATGCAACTCGAGTCAAAAAAGAAAGTCCTGTGGTGCTGGGCTGAGAACAGGCTTCTTTGTGGAGCTGAGATCGGTTGTGACTTACATTATCATATGATTTGTGTAAAAGCCACTTGACTGTCAGGGGCCACACTAAACTCATGGGCCATCCTCAAAGCTGTGAAACAGAGGAAAAGACCCAGCAGCTGCATCTTTTTGGGGAGCATCTAGGTTTTCTTCTGCCCAGATAACTCATTGGGTTTTTGTTTTGATTTTGAAGATTGAGAAGATGGAAGAGATACACCGCCAATTCGAAACGTTCTTGAGTGAAATAAGCAAACCCACTAACAATTATGAACTGAAAATCGCCAACAGGCTATTTGGAGAGAAGACATACCTTTTCCTTCAAGTAAGTTTTATTGTGTCCACCACCTCTGTGAGCGATATTTATGAATGGCCAAATCGTCCTGTTAGGACTGTAGGTCTTGAAAGCATGCTGCATAAGTTGGCTGCCTGGTTCGGCCCAAATCACTCGATGACCCCCTGTTCCCCCTGCCTGTTTTTCAGACGCCCAGGCACTTTGAGAGTTTCTTTTTAATCTTGGCAGTTTAAATCCAATTTTTGTCTTAACCCTGTTGTACCTGCATAAAAATGTGCATGGAAGTCCTCAAAGTGATTTGCCCAGGTCCTGAAATTCCTTGCTTACGACGTTAATTATCTTGATGTACAGCTAAACTTATTTAGAGATGTTGTTAATGGATAAATTGAACTTTCAACCTCTTTCTATTTCTTCCTTGTTTCTCCTAAAGAAATACTTAGATTATGTTGAAAAACATTATCATGCTTCTCTGGAGCCTGTTGATTTTGTAAATGCAGCAGATGAAAGTCGAAAGAAGATTAATTCCTGGGTTGAAAGCCAAACACATGGTAGAGTATGGATTGGTCGTTCATCATTAAAATGCTTCTTGAGTATCTGCTGTGAGTGAAGCCCTGTGTTCGACACTGCATGGAATGCCAGGGGGGACACCTTTGGGAGGGGACGCGAGATGGGTTTTTCAGGGTTGAAAAGGCAGAGCTGTGCATGAGGGCTGGGAGAAGGTGCTGCAGGTGGTGGGATGGTCTCAGCAAATGTGGAGAGAGTCAAGGAGACCAGACAGGGGACCATGGCGGAGAATTACTTACACATGGCTGTGGGTCACAGTGTCCCTGGCGATCCTGACACTGGGTTCCCGTCTGTCTCAGGTTCAGATGATTCCTTTGTATCAGAGCCTTTCTTCCTGAGTCCGGATCCCTACCTGAAAACGTGCTAGAGAGTTTCCTTGCCCTTTATCAAGTGAGAAACATTCAGCTCTGCAGTCAAGACCTGCCTTTGCTACTTACAGCTGGGGCTGCCTGGGTCCCATCTCCATTTGAGCATCATTCAGCCCCATGCACAGCAGAGAACTTGACAAAGCCCTCACTTCATCCTCTCTCCCTATTCCCTGGTATGAACCAAACACAGGAGAAATACCAGAGAGGGGTGTTAATATGCAAATACACTTTGGGGAGCGATAGCTCGCACTGTCATGTTAGAGTTTCAGATTACCTTTTTTATTCCAGTTATCAGGGAGACATCTATTATTTCAGAATGTATTTTTTTCTTCATAGTTAGTCCAAAGGGAATAAAATTAAAAAAAAAAAAAAGGAAAAAAAATAAGGTCTATCAGAGGGTCGGTTGAAGGCAGTATTCTTTAGAATTTGGTGTGAGATGGGCTGAACCCAGAGACAAAAACATCAGCTCCTTTCTCAATAAAATAAGAATTCTCTAAATCTCAGGTGGTCACTGTATCAAATAGGTAAAAATAATAATAGCTTACGTTTACGGAGTGCCTACGGTGAGCCGGATACTGTTCTAAGTGCTTTACACATGTGCAATCATTTACCCCTTTAAACAACCCTATGAGGCAGATTTTATTCCTGGTTTACAGATGTGGAAACTAAGGCACAGAGACCTTAAGTAACTTGCCCGAGATTCCTCAGCCGATAAGAGGAAAAAATGGAAGCTAACAGAGTTCTCTGACTTCAGAGCCTGCACTCCTGAACCATCACACCTCATTTTATCCACTGGGACACAAATGGGCAGTGGGCAAAGCGAGAACCCCCTGCCGATTCTGCCCGAGAGCACTGTGTCAGCACGGCCCGCAGGTGCTGACTGGCTGAGGTCTTAATGATCAGGCAAGTCCACTGCATCATGCCTGCCGCGCGTATCACTTATAATTTTGAAGATGGGCCAATTTTGTTGTTTTTGTTTGCAGAAAAAATCAGGGACCTGTTTCCAGATGCCTCTCTGAGCAGCTCCACCGAGCTGGTGCTGGTGAACAGCGTGTACTTTAAAGGGCAATGGGACAGGGAGTTTAAGAAAGAAAACACCAAGGAGGAGGAATTTTGGCTGAATAAGGTATGGTCCTTTTGTATGGGACGTGCTCGCTCACACGTGGAATGTAAAACCTGAAGTCGCCTTTCAGCAAATGTACAGGGTACATAGCAAAGGCCGAGTCAGAGGCTGGGATCTTTAGCAGGAGTTTAGGCTGAGCTAATCGTTTGGGTGTGCTCACCTGGTCGTCTCACGGCTCTTTTGACACTGGGCGCCCTGTGGATTTGTTGCAGAATACAAGTAAGTCTGTGCCGATGATGACACAACGCCATTCTTTCAGCTTTGCTTCCCTGAAGGACTTGCAGGCCAAGATTCTGGGGATTCCATACAAAAACAGTGACCTAAGCATGTTCGTGCTGCTGCCCGATGACATCGACGGTCTGGAGAAGGTAAAAGCTCGCACCTCCCGTTCTTGCTTTCGTTTCTGGAGGCTTCTCATTGGGCGCTGGTGTCGGGCAGTGCCAAGTAGAAAACACTTCTCACTCCGTGCAGGATATCGAAAGAGGAACGACGAATGGCATCGGGTTTATTGAGAACAACTGAGACTAAAATATTTGAGAGCCAAAAATGGACATTTAATGGGATTTCTAAAGGCCTCCCATTATTCTGAGAAATGGCTGCTATTTACGGACCCTCTTTCCCAGAAAAATCGCATATGCACATGTCCAGCAAATTCTGCATTCTCTTCAGGAGGCTCTTGGACCTTCTGAATTTCTTTTTTACACCTTTAATTTTTTAAAAAGTTTTAGGTCCACAGCAAAATTGAGAGGAAAGAAAACTAATAATTTATATAAACATATGTGCATAGCCTCCCACATAATCAACATTCAACATCACTTAGAAAAAAATGGTTCTTTTTTTTTCAACCAAGGATGAATCTATGTTGACACACAGTAATCACCCAGAGTCCATCAGACACTTAATCTTGAACCATGTGATTTAGCCCCAATCATTTCGTATTAGAAAGTTGACGAGGCTGGTATCCTGTAGTTTTGAAATCAGGAAGGTTTTGTTTCAAATCCCTATTCCTCTATTTAGTAGCATTATGTCCTTTGAAGCTTAACTTCCTTGAACCTCAATATTTACCCATTTGTAAAATCAGCTCCATAGTTCTTAATGTGTAGTGTTATTTAATGATTAGAGACCATTCTATATCTATACCTAATGTATCCATATCATCTATATCTATATCTAAAGGCACACACCAAACAGCATCAGTTACCATAAGAATATAACACCTATCATGTATTGTAATTATAATACTCGAAACTGTTCTGTTGCTGTGAAACATTGGTAATAGCGTTACACGTCGGAAAATATTTTCTGACAGCAAAATAGCAGAATGTATGGAAGCTTTAAGAGTATTCCGACTTTGACTCAAACCCCCCAGTTGTGGGAATTACCCTAGGAAAATAATTCGGAAGAAAAAAATTGCCTTTCTGAGTCAAATCAGTAATTTCTGCATTAAATACACTGGGATACCTAGTTTGAAATTCATCATAATAATTATCTTTGTATCTACAACATTTTCCATAATGCATGACACATACTAGATATTTGTGAAGTGAGCGACTGGATGAATGTTGGGTAAAGTTTATCAGTTTGATGAAAATATCTGTCTGAAGATATTTAGGAGAGATATGTAATAGTGTAAAAAAAGTTTACATTATAACAAGTAAAATGGACATTCATTGTGATTGCAACTATGTAAATATATATTTATATTTTATATAGTATAATAAATATGATATAATGTACCATTTATTATAGTAATATGCTTATTATATAAACATGTAATTTATTATATATAAAATCATATAATACATATGCATACAAAGACTAGGGGAATAGTGAACTATGAAACAATGCATATGCGATTGATAGAATATGAAATGACATTTCTTATCGTTAAAAACTCAGTTAATGCTATTGAGTTTGTACAGAAAATTTAAACAGAAATATAAGACAAGTGCCTGCTATCTAGAGACAACAGCCTCGTGAAACGAAATTTCTACTTTTATTTGCTACTAACGTTAACGATTTCTGACGGATACAAATCAGCGTTACACTC